AAATATCGATAGTTAATTGTTTATTTTATAGGTTTAAAAAAAAAGTTGCCAAGTCAGAAATCCCTCTTGAGTAGGAGGCCTAAAGTTAACTGACCTTACAAGATCTTTTGACTTGGAGACTTATTCTTTTGAATGACCGGACAAACCTGACCAGACAGACTTTGCCATTCCCTTAAACAGAGAAAGACAACTGTTCAAAAACCCACTCAAACCGACTTGTCTTACCAGTCTCGCCATCCCACAAGGGCGTCGACATACATCTGTTACAAATATTCACTGAATTCTCTTATTGTATGTTACATATCGTACCGAAAGATCATCAATCTTCTACATAAACTGTATAAAATACACTTTCTTAAAGAAATTTCTCTGGACACATTTCAAATTATACGTTTGAAGAATTGTTTAATCTAAAACTATGTGTATCTTTATTCACATGTATATATATATATTTTATAATATCAAAAATAGAATACAAAAAAATAACAATTCGGATTTATTCAAAAGTTTAGATGATCACGTAACTCTTCACGCTTATTTCTTCAGAATCACGCCACCCATAAATGTTCGGTAAGCGTGAATTATCATCTTGCATCCTGCTATCAAAATGCGTAAAATCCCTACAGACTGGAGAGAAAGAGATGAAGTATAAATTCGTACTCCAGGTATGTTAAAATATTAAAGAAAATCTTCTATCAAAAAATGCTTGCTTTTAGCTTGATTTTATTCTTATTTTTAAGCAAACTACAAGTTAAAATTTTCTATACTTTACATGTTTATATATTAGCTTACATTAAAATACATAAAAGCATTCAAAATTAAGTTTAAGTAATAAATAAAAATAAAATAATTTATTAGTAATTTGTATGTAATTTTTGTACACACATCTAAGATAAAGAATTTATAATAAAATATTAATAAATGATAGAAAAACTACTTCACTTTTCAAGGCTTTTTCCATATCCTTCACCAGATAATAAGATTAATATAGTTGAAGGATAATTAGGAAAATATAATTAAAAATTGATAGCATCGTTTATTAAGTTTTCTATTTTTTATAATTGTTTTTTCTTATAAATTTGTCTAATAAATTACTAGATAAAGAGAATCTATTACAAGTAATTGAATTTTGCTGAATTTATTAATTGACATAATATCAAAGTTTACAGGACAATAACATTAATAATCATTTCATTGATCAATTTAAAAATTTCACAACTAATTTTAATTTTTTTTCTATTTATTTGTAAGTATATATCAGCCATACTGAATTAATGATTAAACTCTAATATCATACAGACCAAATTCAATGATCATGCTAAAATACTCTATGTAAACACAATATAACTAATTTGCATTTAACACAATTATTCCATTAAGCTAGATACGAATTTAATAGATTTATCCGTTAGCGATTTAATATAATTTAAAAATCATAATTAAATATAATGATTACAAAGTTTACATTGGTGTTTAAAAAGAAGGATATGACAAATTACAGTATTTCTTTTTGGTGTATAGAGGGGGTCATTTTTATTCTTAAATTATCCCCACAAATTACAGTGTTAAGGAAAGACTCTTTTCCCTGTTAGTTACATTTAGCAAATCAGGAAGTGATTCTCTGTCAACGGGATGTCGAACGTGTGAGAATCGTTTGTTTAGTTACAACTAAGCAGGGATGCTTGACTTCCGTTGTCATGGTAACTACGTGCAGAGAACCGCAATGTTTTAGTAATTAGTCCTTACTCTCTACACGATTACTCCCCTTGTACTGATAGAAATGAGAAGTTTAGATTTCATATTCTTCGCTGGATAATGTAATACACATGATTCTAGTTAACGCCACATGTTTGATTAATTAGATATAATAAAAAGAATATGTTTTTCACAGTTCTCTGTCGTAAATCAAACATTTCATAAAGGAAGGATCATCTTAAATGTTAGCAAATTTAATTTTTACAAGTTTTTTTTTCTTACTCCTTTCATTCAGTTAAATTGTAGCTACGAATTTTTAAATTAAAATTAATAAAATATAAATTGTAGGATCAAAACATTAAATATATATATACATATATATATATAAACAGAGTAACATTTGGAAAAAGTAAACATTTGGTTTCATAAAATATGCATAGAAAAATTTTCATCTTTTATATTTGTGTATCAGATGATTAAATCAAGAGGGGATAAAAAAGGAATTTTATTATTAAACGAGTGTAAGCCCCAAAGCTAAATCTTTCTTATCTGTTAGAAGATTATTCTAGGAAAGTAATCTTATTTTGTAATTTTTTTCCTTCCTCTTTTCTCAGGGTTTATCTCGGTTTTGAATAATAAATTGGGTTTTATCAAAATCCGCAAAAAACATGAAGAAAAAAACAAAATCAAGTGCATATGCTACACTGAAGGAAAAGAATATGTTGTGTAGTTTAATTAATAGGAACTTCTAGATTCTATATATTAAAAAATAAAGCTGCTAAATCATAAATTTTCTTAGTGAAAGAATAAAACTTAGTAAATTATTCATTATATATAAATTTTTTAGTTAAGTTTTTTGTTATCGTGTGATTATGATCCACCTAAATTAATAGAAAAAGCGAATGAAAACAATATTCCTTTTAAATATAAACTTATTCATTTATTTATGTTAAAAATTGTCTGTTAAGAATATTAAAAATTGCGAAAATGGGATAATTATTATTCTAGTTACGTATCGAGAATGAATTTTCATATATATATACTGGCTTTTCATTAACTAAATTAATTCAAGAATAATTTATTAATATGTATTATATACATCGCTTGCCTAAACAGACGGAATTTAGGAGAAAATTTATGAAAATAAATTATTTTTAATATTAAAAAAATGCTTTGAGATTTTCGAATCTTTCAAGATTAAGACATTCTNCATATTTTTCGATTATTTTTGTTATTTATTTATTTATTAGTTTTCCTTTAAATCACATATATATATTTTTGTTTCTCTTGAATAAATTCTTGATAAAATATATAAGAAAATAATGTTTTTTAATTCATTCTCATAACTTAAATGTTATTACAAGAAAAGAATTGGATTAAAATTATAAATCATTTCATTCTAAAATAATTTACTTTAAAGTATTTTATTATTTAAGATAACGATATCTCTTTAAGAAATAAAATAACATTTATTTTTCTACATTATCTTAAAGTATAATTTAATTTACTATATGTGGCTTTTGTCTTTGTATTCTTCAAGTTTTCTTTAGAAATTCATTAAAATATGAATGGAGAATATCATGTTAAAAGAAGATGTTTTATTTTAATATATTTAATAGCTTTGATTACTTCAATAAATTTAAATTTTGTAGTTAAAACAAATAAATTCTGCTTGCTTTCATTTAAATATTGTAGATAAAAAAAAAACATTTAAATTGTTACAGATAAAGTTAAATAAAATCAAATCACTAATTCATATTTATTATTAATGTTATTTTAGTCTAGATAACATTTAATTAAACGTCAAAAGCTTTTAAAAATTAGTCAAATTTTTAGTGTTTTAACAATGTTTTAATTATACACGTAGACCCCCCTATAACACTGTTGATAATTCCGTGTTATATGAATTTCATGTTGTACGAGTCACTTAGATTTTACAAATACGTGTTCCGGGCTGTGAACGGCTCACGTATTTGTAAAATATAAGTGACTCGTACAACATGGAATTCATATAACACGGAATTATCAACAGTGTTATAGGGAGTTCTACTGTACTTTTAATGTAAAAAAATTGACAAATAGGCTATATAAACTTCCGACCTTTTATACGAGTAAATATGATAACAGTTGCATATAAAAATAATTAAGGTATCATTTTCGGTGATGTTATTCGGGTAAACAACAATAAAAATTGCTATTTTGGCATTATTTTGCAAGGAATAAGACAAGAGAAAGAGAGAGAGAGATAGTCTAATGGAAGTCTGAAATCTTTTACGGGATGACAAGGATAAAATGTGATAGAGAGAGAGAAAAAAAAAGTTTTCGTAGGTGATCTTTTACACGGAGAGCAAATATACCAATGTAGAATAAACCCAGACAGATAAAAATACAAATTTAAATTTATATCGAAGAGAAAGCAGGAATAGCTTCACATATATTATTCACACAAGTAAGATTCATTTCACACTTTGATAGTTTTCGGATTCGCAGAATTTTGTTTGGAATCTGCGAATTGCCGGAATATTTGGCATTGCCAACACATCATCAATCAGCAAAGGTCATTTATTATATCCGAGGTATTCCGAACCGGCCATAGAGCAGCGCCATCTGTTGGCATCTCGGTATATTAATGGGTCATCTATCCACTCGATAGGATCTGCCGTTGATAGAAGCCTTTGTGTTGTTTATTGTGATTTATGTCGAATCTTCCTTTCGTCATCGATTAGGATTTTTCATCGTTTTGATTGCCAAATTTAAATCGATTAAAGGAGAAAATAATACAAATTATATTTATGCATCTGTACTTTTAATTCTTTTTTTTTTACTTTATAAATAATAGCGAGGTTGCGGCCGAAGTTTTCATCTGTAAAACTTGAACGTCGAACGTCGAGCGCCGCTATNCATATATATATATATATATATAGGCCTATATATTATTCTTCACAAAGAATTAACTAAATATATTAAAACATAATCATCAATAAACAATACTTTAATGTGTCCATATGCAACTTTTTCAGTATACATTTTATGTTAAAAAAAATAGAAAGAGAAATGTTAAAAATACATAATTTATCATTATTTTCAAACATTTACATAGTTGAAATTTATTTAGACTTGTTTAAAATGCCAAGAATGTTTTTTTAAAAAAAAATATGTAAAAAACATACATAAATGCAATGCGGCCGATATGGAGAATACAAAGTGAAGATGACATTTTAAATCTGAATGCGTAGCGATGGAAGTGAAGAATGCAAAGCTGACTGGTCAGGTCCCAAATGTAACCGTACGAATGTGTTAAACAAAATAAAACAAAAGATTTTTTAAAAAATTATAGTAAAATAATTACTGGATGTATTGCATGTAGATAGATAAGTACTCAGATACAACGATTGATAACACGTAAAACTAAATAGATCATGTTAAATACTCTTCAAAACTATCAATCAAAGTCTTAAATATTGATTTTTTATATATATATATAACTTTAGAGGAAAAATATTCATACAAAAGTACGTTTTATTGGAAAAATATTGCCAATAATTCATTCATATATTAATATAATAAATTAATTATAATTAATTCATAAACACAGGTGGGGAGAGAACAATGTCCCATTATTAAAGATATTAAAATTTCATATCATTCTTTGCTTTAGATAACATTCGTCGAATGTATCAAAATTAATTATCCAAGACTGAAATTAGATAGTTAATTAAGTTTAGAAAATTCGTTTAATAAATTTTATAACTTTTAAAATATATTTAAATGTTGTTATTAAAAAATTTCGTTTAAAAAAAAGGTTAAAATGACATTAAAATATATATAGAAAAATCATATAAAAAAAGAAGGTAAATTAATTTCCAATGATGGAATCTATATCGTTTAACAAATCAGATATCTCTTGATCTTCTAATCTGTCTGTCTGTCCTTCGTTCAAAATGTTATCGATTTCTTCTAATGTTAGATTAAAATCAATGTTTTCTTCATCTTTCCCAGCTAAATATATAGTTTCTAAGGTTTCTAATAGTTTATCATCGATTAGAAAATCATTCGTATCTTCTTCGCTGCTTTCTGTTTTCACTAGGAAATTGTCTAGAGTATCCCCCAGCTCATCTAATACCTGTTGATCCGGTAGATCTAAGCAATCTTCGAAGAGCCCATCGTTTTCTAAGATGTGATCCTCCAAATCACAATTGAAATGGTTCGTATCTAGAATAGGCGAACAAGAATTTGAAGTGTCTATAAATTGATTAATTTGTTGAATGCTCTCACCGTAATCTGTATTCATAGAAGAAAAAGTATTATAAAAGATTCTGCGATATAAGTAAGATGGCTCCTGAATACCTCGTGATTGATATCCGGAATGGCAATCTTGTTGATGCTTCGGGAATGTCTCATCCAAGATATTATGAACAAATGACGTATTTTCAACCGAAGAATGATCATATTTATAAAGTTTTCCATCCACAAAAACATATTTCCATCCTTTCGTTTCCATAATTAAGCTATAAAACTTTCTTTAATCTTTTCACTCGATTCAAAAAATATTACCGTTAAGAAAGAACACGTTACTTTTCTCGACTTATTCTTACGTCATTTCTTTTTTAACGTTTTAATTTTATTTAAAAAAAATATTAATTTATGCATAAATTATTTATTATTATTATTATTATTATTAAACTCTGGTTTAAAATATATAATTTGCATTTTTATTTTTTTATTTTTAAAATATGTAATGTTCTCTTCTCCTTCCACATCAATTACAATATCATAAACATGATATAATCCGTACCAAGAGTATAAGAGAAAATAATGAAAATTACTTTTTGTACGTCAAAATTATTAATGTTAAGAAGCGGTATGATGAAAATTTATTTTTGAAAATGAAATAAGTTTTACATTTTTATGACTCCATTTTTATTTTAGTCATTTATTCCAGTGTTTTGGTTGTAATTCCTAAAAATTACTGTCGAGAATTACTGAAGAATATGGTTTACGACTCCCAAGTGATCGCAGTCAACCAGATAAGAAGCATTGATTTACTTTTTACATTATATAAAATTTGTAATTAATTTCTATAATGTTTTATATGTCTTTAAATTAGTAAATACAAGTGTATTTACAAACTTATTACATTTAAAAACTTTGATGGAATCGATTTAATTTATATAAAGTTCTTATATATTAATGTAATTTCAGCAATAATATTTATTTATATTATTAATATAATAGATTATTGTAATTATAATAATCAAAGGGGGATGCTCCGATCTTCACAGTTGCTGGCATCGAATTTTTTACACATCACTCAAGATTTGAATAATTGCTAATAACTGAATAGTGTTTAATCTTATTTGATTAAAATGAATAATCTACTACTGTTTATAATCTCCGGAATTGAATTAAATACAGGTCCGTTGTAAAAGACACCAATAAAGAGATCTTGAACTCTTTATTTTAAAAGATTTCCTGTTATTGATAAACTACCATTTATGGAACTAATAAATCCGAAAAATGAAATTTTACATCCCGTGTTAACTTACGAAGAAGTGGAAGACTCAATTGACAAGTTGAAATCAAAATCTTCCCCAGGCACTGATTTAATCCCTTCAATTTTCTTCGCAAGCCCGATATGGGCACTCGACAGAGACCAATTGGCAATACGGTTATATACTAATGATCGAATCAGCATTGTCACAATCAATAATACAGGAGCAGAATTCGTTAATGAACTCGGTTTACCATCTTTAGTATCTAAAGTACCCCTAAATATACCTATAAACTCGAACATTATAACAGCCAAAACAAATATAAACATCAAAAGGCTATTACTTCGAATTAGACTTAATAAATATTCACTATTCGTTAACAATAATATTAAAAATTGTATTATTCATAAGACGTAATTTATGTTAATTGTTTCCAAAATGACGTAATTGACGTTAATGGCCGCAAAAAAACGTAATGACCATTTATCATTACAGATGAGGAAATCATACATAAGGTCAGAGGACTATAATAGATTTTGTTGTGTATGATGATAGATTGAGAGGTATAGTGGAGGATACAAGCATTATGAGAGGAACTAACTGTGGCTTGGACCATTACTTAGCGGTACTGAGGGTAAAAATGAGGATTGGGTGGTGGAGCAAAAGGAGGAAAACAGTGATTCTGTAGTGAATGAAAACACAGTGCCTGATGAGTAGAAAAGATGAGTATAAAGAGCATGTTGCATTGAAACCAGGAAAAGTGTATGAACAGTTGAATGATGTGGAGGAGGTTTGGAAGCATTTCCAATCTTGTGTGATAGAAACAGCAAAAGAGGTATGTTGTGTAACAAGAGTAGACTGTGAGGGACTGCATGAATGAATGTCAGAGCAAGCAGTGAAATAGAAAAAGGACACAACGAATGAAGAATAGACTTAGCATTTACAAGGGGCTTTTGAGAAAAACAGAAAACTGTTCTGGAAGCAAATAAAGAGTACACATGGTAACAGAAAAAAAAGTGTATCCTGTGTATGAAGCGCAAATGGTGAGCTACCGTGTGATGAATAGGTAGTGTGAATAATTTGAGAGCCTGTTGAGTAGCAATGGAGATAGCATGAANAAAAAAAAAAAAAAAAATGCGGAAGATACAGAAGGATCAATTATAGCAACTGGCAACCTTAGCAGTGATCTATCGCTTTCGGGGAGACTATTTATTAGATTTAGAATAATCGATTTTCTTCCTAATACAATCAATAATTCACCGGTTCTTATCGGAGAACTAACTCCAATGACGTAATCGGTTTGAACATGCAGCGGTCTGTGCAGATTTTAAGTACTTTTGGATCTAGGTGGAGGGAGGAAATGGTATACGATCGATTATGAATGACTCTTTTCGCAATTTCCAATATAGAATTTTCATATTATAATTCTATTTTCTTTTTCTATTACAAATGACATTTGTGCTAAAAGATTTTAAGATAATGCATTAAAATTTTAACTAATACTTGACAAGTGATTAAACATTCTCCCTTTATTAATTATAATTGATCATTGATATAAATGACTTTTCTTCATTAAAACGTTAATGTTTTAATGTGAAAAAGTAAACTAAACACTCTCGATTAAAGGCATTCTGATCATTTTTCGTTAAAAGATTTCTTTGGTAAAAGAATAGGTAGGTTCTTATAACAGCGATTAATTGCTAGATAGATTACATCAGATATAAGGATTTTTTTTCTATTTTCTCAGGGCAATTAAAATCATGAAAAATAATAAAAATGATTTTTGTCTTTTTTATACAAAACATTCAATATTAAAAAAAAATTCTAGCAAATTTTTTTTGTGTGTTTAAAGTCATTTCTATTCTCTACATTTTATTATTTTGGAGACGATCGATTTATCCTTAAGAGACATAATCTATTTTCTGTTTAAAACAATAAAGATGCAAGTTAAAAGCAGACATTTGTCATCGATCTCTTTTACAGAACAGAATAAAAATTCGGACACTCGACAGATAAAACGGGTAAAAGAATTGTAGGAAATGTTAAAAATTCTAGTTTTACAAACAAGAATACTTGTCTTTGAGTCGTTAACAGCGTGCTAACAATCATCGGAACGAAACATCAAATAAATAAGTGAAATAAAAAAAAAATTTTTTTTTTGACTACCCAGCAGTAGCCCTACTCGACACATTTTTCATCTCTTTTTTTTTCCTCGTTTTTCCTCTTACAAATGTTAAATGATCGTTTACTTTCTAAAAGACTTTTAAACCTCTAATTGCCCATGAGTTATTACCAACAATCTTTACATTTATAATTTCTATAATGTTAAAATATCAATTTAAAATAATTTAAATTTGTTTTAAGGAAGTCATAAAAATTATATTATTTTGTTGTCTTACTTTTTTTTTTATTATTTACTGCACGTATCGATTAGTTATAATACAATTTTCTGCATATAAATGATTAATTTTTCATACTATTTACTCACTTTTTTTTTTAAATATAAAATTTAATATTTCTCCTATCTTAAACAGGAGAAATATGTCATTAAAGAAAGAAAAGAATAACATAAAACTATTAACTTCAGCAAATTATTATCACTTTCTGGTGGGTAAATTTCGTTAATGTCACAGGAATGGAGCGAAGGGACACGATTATATTATCATCATTAGTTACCGATTTTATCATCAGTGTCAGATGCAGGCAACAAATATACAATAAGGTGAAAAGAAGCGTTTAATATAGATTTTAACACATTCAATCACGACGAATATTCGCTTCGAAATTAAAAATTCAAATCACGATCAAATTTTTATTATTTTTTATCATTTTTTTTTTCCTTCGTCCAAGGACAAAAGAAATTTTTACGTGGAAGCGTAGGCGATCAGAAAGCGGAAAAATGTGTTATTAACAGCTGCGAGAGGATGGAAAAAAAAAAACGTGGCTAAATAAGGAAGAAGCAATTGTCACTTATTAGCGAGTTTATCAAAAAGTATCACGTGTAGCCGACACCACGTGCAAATATGTTTGATGGGATTTGAAGGAATAAAAAAAAAAAACAAAAAAAAAATTCCATTTCGTATCCAAACAATCGACTTCAGAAAGTAAAACCCGATTATGTTACATTCTTTATGGTGAAGGATTTGGAACCATTTCCGCACCGTGGAGAGAGACGTATTACACGTGACATAGATCTGACAACGTAATCTTCAGAACAATATTCTCCGATGTATCTAGTTCGATGCACAATGGAATTGTATTCCAACTTATACAATGTAGAGACGATCATGGTTAAGCAAAAACAAATATTTGATCTTATTTTCTTCTAAAGCAAAGGGAATGGCTAAACAAACAGAAATATGTAGGTCCTATATAAAATTGTTATTTTCTATGTTAATTACTACGCTGATGTTATGTGACAAATGTAAAACTATCCGGATGGAGAGAAGATGGGAAATTTTCTTGAGGTTTGAAGAAAATTCAGGGGTTTGTAATGGTTCCTTTCCTTATAAATTAATCGACAAAATAAATTCTTTAAAATTAGTTTTTATTAACCCCTCAATATTTAGTGTTTAAAAAATAAATAAATACTAATTTTTAGCATGATTGTCACTAGTTAGAAGTGTCAATCTTTCATCATTTTTAATTTACTAACTATATTTCCATAATATTTTACTCTTTATTAACTTGTTTTCTTTATACTAAAGATTTAAATATTGTATTATGACACGTTTCGTGTATTTCTTTTCTTAATTACTGTAGTAATTAGCATAAAGAATCAGTAGGCCACTTTATATTTAAATTAAGAATACGTCTTGTTTACAACATAGAGATTTTGAATTATTTAGACAGAGCGATGGTTTTATAATTTAATATGTTTAAATATTTTTTAATAGTTTACCAATAGATGGCAGCAGGTAACAAAAAAAATTTTTTTTTCTTCTTTTTATTTTTAAAATATGTAATGTTCTCTTCTCCTTCCACATCAATTACAATATCATAAACATGATATAATCCGTACCAAGAGTATAAGAGAAAATAATGAAAATTACTTTTTGTACGTCAAAATTATTAATGTTAAGAAGCGGTATGATGAAAATTTATTTTTGAAAATGAAATAAGTTTTACATTTTTATGACTCCATTTTTATTTTAGTCATTTATTCCAGTGTTTTGGTTGTAATTCCTAAAAATTACTGTCGAGAATTACTGAAGAATATGGTTTACGACTCCCAAGTGATCGCAGTCAACCAGATAAGAAGCATTGATTTACTTTTTACATTATATAAAATTTGTAATTAATTTCTATAATGTTTTATATGTCTTTAAATTAGTAAATACAAGTGTATTTACAAACTTATTACATTTAAAAACTTTGATGGAATCGATTTAATTTATATAAAGTTCTTATATATTNTAGAATGTATTCAATCGAGTCACGAATTTAAAAAATAAATAAATAAGAATTTAATTTATTATGAAGTTTTTTTTTTGTTTTTAGTTACATCAGAATTCAACACGACTCTACTCACGAAATATTGTTACACAGAAAATACTTTCAGTTTGGAAGTGCATCGAAACAAAACATTTTCTGTTGTTTCGCTGTCGATCGACCTGTAGAAAATTTAATTTCTTTTGACTTGTTCGACAAGTCATTCCCTAAAGCTCGAAAGTTTTCTCTGGAAATACAATTCTTCTAATGATCACAAATACAAAAAAAAAGAAAGATAATAATAGAAAAAAATTATAGATGACTACCATCAATTTTTGCTTCCTAAATCACAATTCATTTGCTATTATAACCTAGTGAATTTTCCCTTTACAACAATAATAATGAGATTGCTCTTAGATGAAAATTTACTTCGAATACGTGCAACATTAAGAATGATTTGCTCTCATTTCTTTAATTTTTACTTATTAAAAGTTTATATACCTTCTTTTTTTTTCTTAAATATGAGTAATTAAAATGGAAAATAGGTCAATTTTATTATACATAAATTAACATTTTTATTAGCTAATATTTTTTACTTATATATATATATATATATTGACTATGAAGCAATAGATATAAAAACATTATTTGTTAGTTAAAAATAAAAATAGTTTATATGGCCCAAATAAGATAAAAATAGAAAGATTTTTCTCTATTTACTAACCTAGAAACCCTTCTTATATGCATGTTAAAGCATTTCTCAGACTGAATTTTCTATGAAGTGACAACAGATGTTAAAATGTAAAACATTTCCAATGCGTATAGGATTTAGGATGAGACAAGTCGAAATGATTTCTTCTTTGCAATTATATATATATATATATATTTCAAAAATTCGTAAAATAAATAAAATAAAATTTCCTGTATAACAGCATGTTTAAAAAAAAAGATATATTACTTTTGAAGTTTCCACGAAAACTATTCAGGAGTTTGCTAACCATGAAATGATCTACTTAACTAAATTCCACTTAAGCACGTTTATTTTGAAATCTAACAAGAATTATATTAAAAGAAAAAAGTATCCATTTACATATTTGATAATCCAAATATTAATTTTTCCTCAAAAAATTCTAATAATATTTGCTTGTAAATAAAATATCTTATCTATAATATCTATAACGTTACGAGTGTTGGTATCTAGGGAAATCGTGCGTGTAAAATTTGTCTTAATTACGATTTTTATACGTTGAATTATTTAATAATCAAGCTTAAAAGTCATCTTATAAGTATTTACATCTCGAGTAAACATAGCAGAGTACACACACATATATATATATAAAAATCTTAGCTTGTGGCTACAGGTGTTTGTCAATTTTTTTTTTCTGAAATATTTATAAAGATCTTACCTTTCTCCTTCCACGTAAAGAAGCTAGAGTTAAGAAAGTATATATACTGACACCTATGACTAAACCAAGGCTGAGTGCGAGCAAGCGAACATGCCATCTCCGCCTCATGACTTGCCCGCCTTTGCTATCTGATAGAAAACGTGAGTTGCAAAGCAGTCGACGTGCAGCTCCTGGACGGAAGTTGTCGGGACCTCTTCCATTTTCTAACGGGTATGTCGAATACACTGAGAGGGATCTATCTGGTTTACATGTGGTTGGAATCGAAGTGCACATCAGATGGGCGTAAATACATAAATAGTGGATTGTAACATACAATCGATAGTGATACGAGTGAATGAAACACACCATAAATAACATCTATTATTGACGCCTTCTAACTTAAATCTCAGTTGCGTTATTACAACGTTTGATCTTTCTGCACAGGTTTCAAGTTTTTATTTTTATCTTTTTTTTAGATAATAATTACAACGAAAAATAAAGTGTGAATAAAGATTAAAAATATTAAAAAAAAAAAAAAGTTATAGATAAGAAGGAAAGAATGTTCATTGGTAATTTCCTTTCTGTTAATCCGTTGTGTTGATATTTTATTTTAGTATTGGAAGTTTATCCCACTGGTTATTTTTATTTATTTATTTATTTATTTTTTACTGTGTTTAATGAACCAGTTCGAGTTATGATTTAAAATTTGTGTCGTTCAATCTTTAGGCTATTCGATAATGATTATAATAATTATTCTTTCGAAATTGCATGACACAAGTAGGATTTCGAACTCGATTTAGTGTTCTAATTCTAACTTATAATGCATCGATGAATTCGATAAATAAAATAAAGAATTCTTCTTCTATATTTGGAGCAGTTTCAAAAATTTTCTAAATCGTTGAACTTATGTTCTGTGTAATCATATATATATATAGGCCTATATATATTTTGAATAACTTACCGAAAGAATTTTGGCCTCGTAACTATCAATAGAGCAACAAGCAATTTTCCCCCCCCCTCTCTCTCTTTTTTAAAAATAAAATTTTCATATAATAATTTAAGTTCACCAAAAAGTGCATTCTTATTTTTAAATTTCCTTCCGATAAAGGTAACATATTGTTTCGAATAATTTAACAAAGTTTATGTTATATTGAATAGAGAGCAAGTTTAATGCATTAATGATACATTAGCGAGAACCTATGAGAAATTATCAATCTTCGATATTTTCCTCCATCAGATATATTCCTGTTGATTGATATAAAGCTATCTACATCCGTTCGAATATAAACCAGTCCCAATCTTATATTATTATTATTATATTGTTTGCAACATGCTATCTAGAAATTACAAATAAAANAAGACGACTAACGATTAACCTCATTGAATTTATGCTCATTTTTCATTAAAAATTTTTTCTGTTTCCATTTTATTTCATATGCCATAGCCATTTATTAGAGAGAGAGAGAGAGAGAGAAAGAGAAGATGGTGATGGAAAAGAGGATTAGAGGACAACATCGATTCGCGTTAGAAACCAAAATGCTGTAAATAAACGATATCCAAAGAAACAATAAAGATAAAATTAAGATAGAAAGATGAAACTGTATGAGCCTGTCAGGAGGATCAAAGGAGACAGGTACTGTACCTGAAGTATATAGAAATTGAAAATCTCCAAAAAAACAAGGATGACCAAAGAGAAAACCATTCGTATAAACAAGATGAAAGATAAACTAAATAAAAGAGAAAAATGGAAGTAAAAAAAAAATATTATAGATATATATATATAAACAATATTAAAAGATTAAAAATTGAAAGTATTTTTTATTACTATTTATATTTATACAAGTGATAAATACACTATATATCTATCTGTCTAACTATGTCAAGGTCACGAAGGTGGGAGTTTACCTCTTCTCATTGGGAAGAATTAAAACTTAAATAAAATTAAATGGTAATTTGTATGTAAATTATATTTATTTTGTATCCGTTCAGTTCCTGATTAGTCTATCTATTTATATCTACAGGATGATCATAATCAAAGANGAAATTGTTCCTCCTGTATCCTAGAATGAATTTATCATAATGTTTATCGTTTTAATGGAAAGCATGATTTCATTTTAATTTATCATCGTTTTGGTAGTTAATAGTCATCACTCGAAATGACTAAAGCTAGTAGAATGATTAAGTATTGAGGAAAGAAATCAATACTGCAATAGCTTACATAATTACGTAATGTTAAAGTGTAAATTTGTGATTTATAAATTTCTCACATTTCAAATTACTCGCATGTGAACAATTTACTACTCTTAACGATATTTAAAACTCCTTTTATTTCTTATTATTAATGTATAAAAAAAAAAAAAAGTAATTTACAAACGATATCGATAAACCTTTGTCTTCATAAAAATGATGAAAATGAATAAATTGTTAATATTATTGCTATTCTGATTGACATTTGAATATATTTAATGAAGCTAAAAAAAAAAATTACTCTTCTGTTGAACTTTTATCTTATTTCAGACGACATTTAATATTGAAAGTTCGCAATAAAAAAACAAATTATTTTATTTCTTTTTCACTTTATATTTCTTTTTTTTCATTTAATTTAATTGATTTACAGATATTTAAAGAAGCGTATTGTGATTAAAATCTATCTATACATTGTGACAAAACTCAATTTATACACTGCACCAAATAGCCTGAGGATGATTTTGATTATTTCTATTTTACTTCTGGAGATTATTATTATTTTATCTTATCGAACGAAAAGGTTAAAATATATATATTTAGGTTTATAAATATTGTAGTTTCCAGTTATAAGAGTAGATACTGTATTTACATTTTTCTTTAATAAAACGTAAAATAATAATTTATCGGTAATACAAAATACAAGAGAAAACACTGATTTAAAGTTTTTAACGTATATATCTCTAAGTTATATATATTCAAAGTTAATAGATCTAATTTATATTTATTTTTAATGGATTTTTTTTTTTAATTAAAGTGATAAGTTTTGTTTCACTTGAGTGTTTATTGAATGTGTCATTTGCTATACTTTCTTTAATCATTGAGTTTGAATTTTGTAATCTACCTCGTCATCACTTTAAGCCAAGATCATAAATTATTATTATAACATAATCATAATATAAACTATCTCGTTTATATAAGCATGAGAATATTCTGGCCTCAATATTAGACTATGAAATGAACTGATAACAAGACTTTTGTTATCAATAAAAAATTTAATTGATAATAATAAATAGTATTTCTATTAAAAAGATAATAAAATTATTATATATTAAAATACTATTATATATTTTTTTTATCTACAAAATAGAGTCTGCTATTAGAATGTTAATGATGATAAATGTAAGATAAGACTTATACAAACTTCTATAATGAATTAAGATGTTAGAAATTTCATCTATATAACGTCAGAATTTGCTAGAGTTCAACAAACAAACGTATGAAAATTCCATAGGATAGAAAAGAAAAAAAAAATGTCTTTCTAGCTCACAAACAACTTTTAATGAGACAAATTTAAGATACCATATCTTGCTAAAAACCTATAAATACGTCAGGAAAAATTTCTTCTCTACTCGTTGACAAGATAATAAAATAATTACCCCGAGATAATTGCCTAATCAGAAGATTCATCCGTCTTACCCTTTAAGGTACTTCAATAATTAGTTTTAATTAGCCTTCTTGGTGCTCCTTTACACCATTATGACTTCTAGAGGATCTTTGCAAAAATTTTATTGTATCATTTTTTTTTTTTCCTTCTAAAGAGGAGAAAAAGTAAGCAACCACAAATGCAGCCATGCTTATCACATTCAATTACGTAATGGATGAAAGTAACTCTGTCGGCTTATTCTGGACGACACGTGTACCTCTTCTTTCACGTTTGCACTAAAAATAACATTACTCAGCATTTGGAGAGAGTACAGACATGCATTATTCTTTATCAATTCTCTCCTTTTTTTTTTTAATTTTGTTATCTCGGGATAGTAGTACTTCCGATTCAATCTAATTCTAGAAAATACATTTTTGTTATTTATTTATTTATTAGTTTTCCTTTAAATCACATATATATATATATATATATATATCTAGGAAAGGTTAAGAACCTGATACATAGCCCAGAAGGGGCTCGAAAACATTCATTTTTTTCAATGTTTTTTGTATCACACCATAATTTGGTTCCAAGTGTACCATTATTATTAATTTGGTGTGGTGAATAGTTCTTTACAATGCATGTTTAACCTATCAACTAATGATTTCAAATGAAATAAAATAAACAAAAGTATAATTAAGTTATTTACTGATTTATGAAAAGAACACAGAATGATTTTAAAAAATTAAGTTATCAGACATTTCTTTATTTTATGTTAAAAATATGAAAGTTAAGACAATAACTGAGCAGAAAACTAGTGAAATAGAATAAAATAATTTTTTAATTAATGAAATTTTAATATCTGATAATGTGCAGTTTAGTAGACTTTATCTTTACAAATGCATTAGTATTGAATGACACTATGATTAATGAATGGCTAAGGAGATTAAGATATCAGCCTATTGCTCTTGTGGACCTGAAATCAAATCTGGATGAGCCAGCCCAAGAATTTTTATGGGTGGTCTGTATATACAAGACCCAACCTTCAGCACCTCAGCCATCCATAGTGGATCTAACTAAAAGGCCCTCTTAATGCCCACAGAGTGGAAAATAACAAAAATTGAAAAAACTTAGACATTTATATTATTATTTTCTCATGTTTGAAAAGTTGGAAAAATAAGAAAAACAGAATTAAGCCATTTTCTAATTTTAAGATGCATTTCTATGTTTATTTTTGGGAATCCATCTGGCTACAAACAACACAATTACATATGTCCATATATTAATTTATAATATAATAGTAGTATAATATAATACAGTGGAACCCCAGTTAACGAACGTAATCCATTCCACGAGTCCATTCATTAACTGAAGCACTTTTTTCCATAGAAATTAATGCAAATACAATTAATTCGTTATAGCCATCAGTATTTTTGTAATTTTATTTGTAAAACGGGTTTTCTTTAATGAAAATATAGGAAAACGTGCTTATAAACAGTTGATCTAGGTTAAATTTTCGGAAAAAAGGAAAGATTT